CCCACACCACAGGTCTGCCCACCTCCGCGGGCCAGTCACCCCCAGCTGGACGTGGCAGAGCACCTCTCAGCACACGCGCCCTCCTTCCAGCCCATGTTTGCTGTATGTTGCACTTTCTTCCACAAACTTTTTATTTGAAGAACAAGTCCCTTAAGAAGAGAAAGAAGTGTTTCAAAGTCGCAGGGCAGCCCGAGTGGGCTTCCCCTCGGTCCTGTGGCCGCCCCCCAGCTCCTCTGCAGACCTTGCCACCAGACTGCCCTCCTTCTGGCTGTCTCTGCGCTCACCGAGGTGGCCCAACAAGACCCCGGGTGAACCACGGGACACCTCCATCGACCCTCGACCCCTTCTCACGAGGGTGGGATTCTTAGGCAGTACCAAATGGAAAAATTTTCCAAATATTCATCTATTCAGAAACAGATGGGTGAGATGAAACTACAACTTGAAAATGTCATCAAAGAAAATGAACAATTGCACAGTGAATTAAAGGATGCTGTTGAAAAGCAATTGGAGGCCCTTCACTTTAGCTCAGAGATGGGAAACAATATATTTCCAGATGATGAAACAGTCAGGAACCTTCAAGAGCAACTCCAGCTAGCCAATCAAGAAAAGACTCAGGCTGTGGAACTCTGGCAGAATGTTTCTCAGGAGCTGAACAGACTATAGAAACTTTACCAGGAACATGACTGAGGCCCAGATTCATGCATTTGAAAGCCAAAAACAAAAGGATCAGTTGACCAGCTTTCAGCAATTGACCAAGAAACTTTATGTTACTAATAAGCACACAGAAATGACTAATCAACTTCTGAAAATAGTAACTGAACAAAATGCGGAAGTCGAGCAACTTTGAAAACAACTTAGGCAAGCCAAGTTAGATCTGAGAGTTGCAGTAGCAAAAACAGAAGAGTTAACAAAAGTGACTGAAGGTCTTCAGGGACAAATGCAAGTGGAGGAGGAGGATATGGTGTCTCCCCAAGGAAGAGAGGATGCATCAGACAGGTGCTCACAGCAGTTGCACTCTAGTATAAAACACTTAGAAACAAGATCACGCGTGACAATCCAAGAGGCTAACCAGTTCACAGCAGAAAAGACACGTCTGGAAAAACTAACCAAAGCCCTAAAAGCAAAGTGCAATGAATTAGAAAGTGAGAAATATGAGGCTATTTTAAGAGCCAGAGATAGCATGCAACTCTTAGAAGAAGCTAACCTTCAAAATTATCAGGCTGCTTGAGAAGAAGCAAAGAGAGGAAGACAAAAAGAAAATGAAAGAAGTTATTTTCTCAGCTCATACAAGATTCTACCATTAGAACTAGCAAAGAAATTGAAAACACCAAAAAGCAATATCAAGTAGATTTCTCAATTAACAGAACTTTCAGCTCTTCAAATGGAGTGTGATGAAAAACAAAACCAAACTGAATAATGCATTAGGGGGAAAAAAGCTGTGGAAGAAAAACTAGAAAAGATTTACCATGAAGGTAGAAGGAATGAAAGTGATTACAGAAAACTGGAAGAAATGTCCAAAGATGTCTCGTTGCTGAGCGTTCAAAACATTATCTTGAGCTAAAACTTAAGAAAGCAGAAAATAGAATAAAACAACTTGAAATTCATTCCTCAGGAGAGATATCATATCCTCATGAAATGGTTCAGAAACTTCAAAATGTGTTGGAGTTGGAAAGACAGAACTGTGGCTTTGTCAGTGAACAAAGGCTTAAACTTCAGCAAGAAAATGAACAGTTACACAAGAAAACTGAGCCTTTGAAGAAAGATGCTCTAGGCCAGGGATTTAGCTCAGTGTTTTCGCTGCCTGCTGCACAAGCACAAGGACCCGAGTTCAATCCCCAGTACCAAAAAAAAAAAAAGAAAGAAAGAAAGATGCTCTAGAGGCTCAAAAAAAAAAAAAAGCCAAATTAAAGATCAATGCAATGAACCATGAATTTTTAATAAAGGAACATAAGTTTGAAATTCAGTTGAGAGATGGAAGGCAGTAATCGAAGTTCCACTAATGAACTGAGGCATCGCTTAGCAACTCAACAGAAAGCAGCCAATAGGTGGAAAAAAGAAACAAAGAAACTCACTGAAAGTGCAGAAATTAGAATCAGCAACCTAAAGAGTGAGCCGAGTCAACAGAAACTCCATACCCAGGAGCTGCTTTCTCAGCTAGAAATAGCAAATGAAAAGGCAGCCGAGAATGAAAAGTTAATTCTAGAGCATCAAGAAAAAGCCAACAGACTTCCAAGGCAGGCGTCTCAGTCAGCAGAAGAGAGAGCTGCTTCAGCTTCCCTGCAGCTCGGTGTGATTACAGTGCAGAGAAGAAAAGCAGCCTCCACGACGAATCTGGAAAATACTTAGAAATATTCAGTTCCCTCACAGAACTGCAGAGTTGAGAAGTGTATGATGGTGATGTCTGCAGAGAGTGCTCACCACTTGTGTCACTTTGCATAAGCGTTTTCCATTCTGTTTTGAGGGTTATTGGGTAACACAACAGTGACAGCTTCCTGTAAGTAAAGAAAATATAATCCTTCACTTGAGCTTCAGTGAAAAATAAAACCAGCTGAGAAGAAAAAAAAAACGGAAAGAAAACCTGAAATGATGGCACTGAAGCCTGATAACGGAAACACAGGCGACGCTGGAAGCTGCTAATTACCCATCTTACCAATATGCACACCTCGACGACTGACCTGAGGTCAAAACGCCAAGAAAACAAGGCAGAGTAAACATAAATAACTATAACAATAACGCAAGTGAGCGCCGGGGACTTAGCTCAGTAGTGCTGCCGCCTGCCTCATAAGTGCAAGGTCCCGAGTTCGATCCCCAGTACCAAAAAAAATTAAAAATAAAAAATAACACAAGTGAAATGAAAAATCAGAATGTTTGGTTCCAGTGGGTTTTTGGAAATACACCTCAAAACCCCTAACCCAGGATTCCAAAGCTGAATCCCAAAGGAATCACTGCTGTCCCAACCCCAGCCCACCCGCACTCTGCTCACGGCAGCCGAGACTCAGCTGCAGGACTATTCAGCAGGCAGCTGCTGCCCCCAGGAGCAGCGACAGATGCCCCAAGATAGGGTCCCCCACTCTGGGCCACTGGGCTCCTCCCCTGGGTCTGGACCAGGAGGCAACAGCCACATAGGGCAACAGACTCCCTGGCTCTGGACACAAGCACTCAGAAGTGCTTCCACACTTGTCCTGCAGCCTGTCTTTGATGACAAAAGAAAAACAAAGTTTTAGTAAAATGAGGGGCACTAGAAATAGGAAGAATGTCAGCTACCAAACCTGCCTCAGTTTCAGAGTCGTCAGCTGTGACATTTCAAACAGGAGGCTGAATAGCAAAGCTGTCGGGATTCTAAGAAATGAGCAAAGAGGCAGTGAACAGGTCCCAGCCCCTGCAGAGCTGCTTACTGGCCATATGCTCCAGCGAAGACTGGAGCCGTCTCCAGCCTGCTTCATTCTCTCTTGGCCAGGTCTGCCCAAGGCCCAGCACCGAGGACTGAGCCAGGCCACGCTTCTCCACACCTTGGGGGTGTGGCCTGGAGCCCAGACCCAGCCCAGCACCCAGAGGGGCCATGGCGCCCGTCTCAGTGCAGCCCTGTGCACCCAGCCCTCCAGGTGCTGCCGCCCTGGCCTGGGCAGCCCACAGGAGGCACCAGCAGCAGAGTGCATGTATGCCAAGGCCACCACACGGCTTACCTGAAGAAAGCTGCCCAGGAAACCAGTGAGCAAAGAGCTCAAAGGGAAGCAGACTGGGGCCAGCGCCCGAGACTGCTCTCCAGTGACTCGGGCCCCCCGAGTGGCTGGTCCCCAAGGGCAGCTCAGACTTCCAGGGAGTCCTTCCCGATTCCTCAGAGCTCCCGGCCCAGCAGAAGCCCAGTTCTGGTGCTAGTCCTACCTGTGCACCGCAGGGCACACCGAGCCCTCTCCTGCAGCATGCGGCCCCAGCTGCCAGCCCTCGTCCTGTCACGGTGGTCCACTCCTCATCGGGAGTCTCCCGACCTTAAGCGGACCTGAGCTCACGCTGCAGGAGCAACACGGAGCCGACCCCAGGCCTTGCCCAGTGACTCACAGGGCCCACTGCCACCAGGCCATGCGAGGTTTGGCTGCCAAACGCAAGCGCCACACACTACCTGTCTGGTCGGCTCCAATACAAGAGTTGTTAGTAGTTAACAGAACAGAGTATCTGCTTCATTTTTACAAGTTATGTTTTTCTATGGTAAAGAAAGTCTAAACCTCGATTTGAAATCTCATTCTAAAACACTTCTTCAGTTTAATATCACCACAGATCCACAGCCCTGAGACTTCGAGTGACAGATTTCACTGAGCGGGCACCGAGGACACTGCCAGTGACCCTCACAGCTGGCTCCACAGCCCGGGCCCGAGATCACAGCTCACCTCTCTCCCCACCACCTGGCCACAGGGAGGACCTCGGACCTACTGCTCCACTCAGACTCCAGGGGGAGCTACCAAGACCTCGCCCAACAGTGAAGACCAGCCAACCAACTAGCAGCCGCCTCATCCCCTGGACACCAAGCACCGCAGGCCAGCACCCAACCCCAGAGGACCGGCTGAGCTCCCCGTTCCTGGAATGAGGGAGGAGACAGTGCCTCGATGCTCTCCTGTCTGGCCAGCACTGGCAGTGAGGCTCCTCAGTCCACGCTCTCCTGGGAGGTCTAAAGTAAGTGGCAGGAAACTCTCGACACTTGTTGACGTGACGCGAGGCACAGGAGGTGCGAGGACAGATGCTGTGCTGCGGAGCACTGCCTGTGACCTCCATGGACTCAGGAACCACCCATGGGTCTGTGGGCCAGGGACCACCCTTGATGAAGACAGTTCACAGACAGAATGCCAAGCGGCAGGACGGGTGTATACCCACACGTGTGTGTGCACATGTGTACACACGTGTGCGTGTAATGTACACATTACTTAAACCCAGGGGAAGGGAAAACAAACTAGCAAGTTCATGAACTGCATTTCTGTTCCATACTTTTTTTCTTTAACCACAATTCCTTCTTCATTTAGATATTAGGTTTAATAGAACAATTAAACTCCAAAGTAGAAAAATAAATAAAAGCACAGTTCTGGAAGGTGCTAGGAGTCTTCCCTACTGGGGAAGAGAGCAGCCCGCCAACCTGGCCCACACCTGCACGCACTTCCTGGTCCAGCTCACTAATATGCAACTGCAAACTCCACAACAGAGACATTCGGGAAAAACTACATTAAGTTTTGTGTGAGCCTCTCAGATGACAATGCCCGAGAGCTGTTCACTGGCCCACAGCCTGAGGCGGAGCTACAGTCTGCAAGAATAAGGCCATTTCTTCTTCAACAGCCAATGGGCAAGGCGGCAGCAGGACATGGTTCACAGGATGCAAGAAGTGGCGCCAGCGTTCACTGCGGTCACCTTCTTCCTCGCTCCAGTCAGCTGCTGCACCTGACTTTACTCATGAAGTAGAAACTTTTTAATGGGGTCTGGCAGAGGCAGCGAGGGGATCAGATGAAGCCGGCGTTTGCCAAGCGCTCTTCTCACAGCCACACGGCATGCGCTCAGCAAGGTCCTGGGAGCACCTGGAGAGCCGTGGAAGACAGGAACACGGGTTAGTTCCCATCCCCACCCTCAGCAAACGTGGGCTGTGCCCAGCAGACCTGCACAATGCTCAGTCCAGCCCAATCTTTCAGGCAGGCCGGCGGCCTGTGCCAAGGCCTTGTTACCCAGGGAGCCTAACCAACCGGGACGGCGGCTCCTCCCTAAAATACGATTCATGACCCAACCGACAAATGGGAGCTGGCCACCGAAAGCCTGCAGGTGCGAGCAGTGCCTCTCACCCTTGGTCATTCCCAGAGCTCCAGGCACCTGGGGGTGTGGACTGAGCAGTCCTTCTCGGGGAGCAGCCCAACCTATCCCAGGGTAAATGGCCAGCAAGGGCCCACCTGGGCTGGCTGGGGTGGGGCAGGGCTGAGGCAGTCGTGGGCCAGCTGCTTCGGGAAAGCTGAAAAAGGCCACACTTCAGCGCAGCGCTCTAGGTGAATCCAGTAACAAAACCCACGGCAGCTGGGTGAGAACGGCATGAACAACACAGGCACCCTCAGGTCCCAGGCAGCAACAGGGCAGGACGCACGGTGAGAGGACACACAGACCTCATCCCGAATCCCAGAGAACCCTGACACCACAGCCACGCTGAGGGGAAGTCCCAACTCTCCTGCCATGGATTTATTCATCCTTAGCAAAATCTCTCTGCACAAGTAAGCAAAATACAGGCTTTATTCTAATAAAAATCAGGCGTATCACACAATCCAAAGTAATGGTATCTGAGCAGACCTGAAGGGAAGGAAGGAACCACAGAAAATGGGCCTGGAGACTGCTCACTTAAAAGCCATGTATAAAATGCGTCACCGTCTCTAAGACTCAGGTCACGAAGTAGGGCAAAGGGTAAAGAGAACAGAATTCTAGGAACCTGAGAACACACAGGTACTTTACAGACTTCCTAATGTCAGCTCTTGGTATTAGGCACCACAAAAGAGAAGGCCAATCTGAATGGCCATTCAGGAAAATGTTGGTTCTGACTGAGGATTCTGGCCAACCAAGTGTCTACTAGCTGGGTTTTGTTTTCGTTACCACTACATCTTGGCCATTTAATCAGCCCAAGCAGACTGCAATCAGAGCTGAATGAGGCCACTTACTTCTGGCCTCTCTGAAGACCTTCAAGGCCTCGGGGTCCACTTTCCTTCTGCCTCTCGACTCTGCGCCCAATAATTCCCACTTTACCAGGTTCAGGTTGGCTCCAAACTCCACAAGCAGGCTCACGAAGGCCGCCTCACAGCCGTGCCGCAGAACAGCATCCATGACACAGCCAGGGGAGCCCCTGTAGAACTCCTGTGTGTTGACAGGACCATTGCAGTTGAAGTCGGGGTTTGCCCCAGCCTGCAGGAGCAGCTGGAAGCACTGCAGGTTGTGGTAGGCTGCGCTGATGTACAGGGGACAGACCACCAGGGAGGTGAGGCGCCGCGAGAATGCGGGCCGGATGTTGGGTGTCAGGTGGTGGTTGACATCCACGTCGGCCCCGTACCTGCAGGGTAGAGGAACATCAGACCTTGTAGAGACCAACCACGGTCCGTGCGTGCAGCGACCCTGCACACTGCAGATTCTGTATCCAAGGACACGAACATTCGTGGACCCAAGTACTTGGAAATAAACTGTACTGAACATGCACACATTCTCGTCACTCCCTGGGCAACACAGCCTGACACCTATTTACACAGCATCTGCATTAGAGTAGGTCTGATGAGTAATCTGGAAAGGATTTCAAGTACACAGGAGGTTCTGTGTGTACAGGTTCTATATAAACAGCACCCCATAAGGGGCTCGGGCATCCCCCAAGAGTCCCGAGGGGTCCTGGCACCAATCTCCCACACAGAAGGATGATTAAAGCTTTGCTGCTGCCGGCAAAACAAGGGGGCAGTAAGAATACAGAGTCCATGCACACACACAGACTCTTTGTTTTTGCTTTCTGGTACCGGGGATTGAACTCAGGACCTGGTGCTTGCGAGGCAGGCACTGTGCCACTGAGCTAAATCTCGAGCCCACACACATAGTGGTGCACGCCTATGATCCCAGCATTCGGAAGGCTGAGGCAGGAGGATCGCCACAAGTTCAAGGCCAGGCTGGGCTACATAGTGACCTCAAGGCCAACCTGAACTGAACAGCGAGACCCTGTCTCAAAAAAAAAATAAGAATAAAAATAAAAAATAAAGTAACAGGTTGTATAACTGATGGCTTTCATTCATGCATACAAACAAAAACAAGTTTAACAACAAAAGAAGATCCCCTTTATGCAAACAAAATAAATGACACATCCTGGTATAAACTTCACAATAAATGTTCAAATTTTGCAGAAGAAAAATGATAAAATAAAGTAGAAGCTACAAAAGCAGGTCTAAGAGAAATAAAAGACATACCAATGGTTGCGATGCCTGCCTCGAAAGTGCAAGGACCCGAGTTCGATGCCCAGTACCACAAAAAAAAAAAAAAAAAGACATACCAAGAATAGGGTTAAGAAGGCTCAATGAATTACAATGGTAACTTTCCCTAAGTTTATCTCATGAATGAAAATACCATTTCTGAACCAAGCTGATTACAAACAGCATCACCGGAGCTATGTAAGTTGATTACGAAGTCCACTCGGAGGATCAAGCAATGTAGGAAAGCAAAGCAGCACTCAGGAGTGAAGCATGCTCCTCGGGCCGTATGACAAGGTGGACGGCATCTCCTTGGACAGCGTAAGCGCACACACTAACAAATGACAGGTCAGAAGTGTGAGCTGAAGGGCACGTACACAGCTACACAGCGCCTCCCCACACAAGGCGAGCTAATCCAGAGGAGAGCAAAGTCTACAGTGGCGAGGCCCAGCACACAACACCTGGCTGACAGAGCAGAGCGCACAGCAGCAGTGACGGACAGACAGGAATCACAGGCAGCCCAAGAGGCAGAGGTGAAGAAGACCTTCTGGGACTCCTGTAACGTACGGCCCCAGATGCCGGCGCCTATTTCTCCTGAGCACACTGGACCCCAACAGACCTGCGATGTCTCACAAGTCCTATCAGCACCTGAGGTTTCACTGAGTAGGAAACGCAAGATGCAGGAAGCCAGGAGGGGCCCAGCACAAGGCATCTGGGGGGACGGGAGCGCATCGGGTGGTCTTGACCACAGCCAGCAATCATGGGCCACAGTCTGCTTCTTGAGCTCCAGCCCGAGGACCCACAGGGCCTCTCCCCTGAGCTCACAAGTGCTGTTCTCAGGCAGCACAGGTCGGGGTCCCTGATGCCTCTGCTACAAACGCAGGCATCACCTGCCCTCCACAGCTTTCTGGGGTGACGGGAGATACAGGCTAAAACACATGCGAGACACAAACTCATCACATTCCACAGATTGCACAGTGAGGGGTTTCGTTACGGTTTAGATTCAGATGTTCCCCAAGAGCTCACGTGCTCACGGGGGGCTTCTGGAAGGTCACTGGATTGTAGGACTTCCAGCTGACTTGCTGCCAGGAGGTAGGGGCTGTCAGGAGAGGCGGTCCCTGGGGGCAAGGCTGGAAGGGCACACAGTACATGTCTCCCCCCAGCTCCCAGGTACCTCCCTGCTTCCAATCCACCATGCCCCTCTTCTCCATCTTGGAGCCCCAAGTGTGGACTATAACATAAGAAATGACACACCTCTCCTCAGGTACTTGGTCTCAGGAAGAGGAAAGTGACTGAGATGGCTTTTACATCACCCTTAAGGGTATGTCTTCTATCATGTTTATGATTCTGCACAATATGACAATCTAGTATTAGCTGAGCTGTGGGAAAAGCAGCCATTCAACCACCATAAAAATATACTGGGATCCGGTTCACTTTAGTCCTAAATATTTTCCTAATTCCCCTATTGCTTCTAAATCTCTGGCAAGGAATCATTGGGACAACCCAACAAATTCCCTTCCACCTATCCAGAAATACTACACCTTAACTTTCATTCTAAAACATCTACAGGGAAACAAAATTACCAATAACCAAACAGAGGCATCTCAGGGTGACAGAAAATGACAGCTAGAAAGGTGAACCCTGCCCAGAGAAGCAATGCAGGGCACACAGCTGCCAAGCTCAGATGACACTGAGACAACATCACCTGCTCAGAAACTCACTTGTCACCCCCGCTCCAAAGGCAGTCACCTCAGAATTTAGAAAATGGAAAACTTCCTCACAGGGAAACACATGCTCTTGGTATGTCATTGTCACAGCAGCATCCCACACCCCAGGAAGGGGATGGGACACCTTGGGGGGTTTTCCAGAGGCCACCTGGGCACACAATTTTCACAGGCAGGCTGCAGGCCACAACCGGAGCTGTGTGTGGAGAGGTTGACAGGTGCAGGAGGGTTTCTGGACCAAGATGGAATTGCATGGACTGATCCTCCTCAAAAATGTTTTGGAATGGATGATTACATTCCCCAGTATCCATGATATGGAACTGAAGTAGCTTAGATTAACAGGCGGGATGTCCTCAAAAAGAGCAGCCTCACAGCTTTACCACCATCTAATGTAAAACAACACTGCTCTCATTATCTTCCACAAACCAACTCCATAGCCATTTAGGATGTAAACCCTTCAGCGGAATAAACAGATTCTCAGTGCCCTGTTTAAAGCCACGTTCTGCATCGCTGCCCTGACCCTGGGCCCGGGCTGTGGCCTCTACAAAGGAACCCTTCCCTGACCCCTTTCACTAAGAAGCACCTTCACCTGCAGCCACCTCCCACTCCTGCCAACCCACAGAGCAAGGGGAGGAAAAGCCGTCTGTGGTAGAAGGAAGTCCCTGGACACGTGAACAGTGAAAACACAACCTGGTTCAAACAGGAATAAATACATAAGGGCTGGGGATTTAGCTCAGTGGTTCCAGCGCCTGCCTCAAAAGTGCAAGGTCCCAAGTTCAATCCCCAGTACCAAAAAAAAAAAAAGAATAAATACATAAAGGTAACTATCAGTGTAATTAAAACAAGACTGTAAGCCTTATAAAATAAGAAAGGGAAAGCAAAGATAGAAAGCAAAAGGGAAAACAGATCATGGAACAAAGCAAACAAAGGAAACAGTTAAGAAACAGGCAGATAACAGAATAGACCCTAACAGGCCACAATGCTAACGGTGTTAACAGACAAAGAATTCAAGCCAAATAGTTCAAAATGAGCACAGAGAACTACTTAAGTCGCTAAGAGTAAAACTAAATAAATGAAACTAGTAGTGTTTGCTTGGGTAACGAGCACAAACCATAAGCATCAACTTTTATGAGTTCAATTAGCATCAAAATATTCAAAGCAAAAATAACTGGAAATACAAAGGGAAACGGGCACTGAGAACAGTGATTTGAGACTAGCAGATTTCTCCACATTTTTGGCAGATCCAGTGACAAAAATGTACAGAGAAATAGAGTAACTTAGGCTAATGTACTGTACTATGCAAATACAAACACCTAAGATCCTATGCTTTGTTTCAAGCATTCACAACAATGTAATCAACATACCAAATAACATTTAAAAACTTAAAGGTTCTTCCAAATAGAAGCCATATGGTCCACATTATCTGGGCACAGTACAATAAAATTAGAAGTTATAACTTTCTCCGCCATACCTCTAAGATCAAAGAGGAAATCAACTTCAACTATAGCTACTTTTAAAATAAAGTTTAGGGGCCAGGGATTTAGCTCAGTGGTTCCGGTGCCTGCCTTGCAAGCACAAGGTCCCAAGTTCGATCCCCAGTACCAAAAAAAAAAAAGAAGTTTAGAAGACAGGCCAAGGCTGTAATCAAACATAAATTAATAACAGAGAAGGCTTACATTATTAACCAAGTAAAAACTGAATAAGCACTCAACTCCCACTTACGAACAAAGATACAAAGATACAAATGAATCAGCACCCAGACGAGTAAGAGGACTCATAAAGTGAAGAGGCAGCTCTTTCAGACCAGCCAGGCAGACAAGTCTTCTAACACGGCCTGTTTTAAAGCAAGAGGAAAGCAGCCCCTGCGGAGGAGCAGGAGATCCTGTGCACACTGACCTGATGAGCGCCTGCAGGATGTCGGCCCTGCCCACGCGTGAGGCATGATACACTGGGGTGCTGCGGTGGTGCCGGCTGCCATTGGGGTCTGCGCCGGCCTCGAGGAGGATCTGGGCGCTCTCCAGGTGCCCATTCACCACAGCCATGTACAGGGCCGTCTGCCCCTTCACATCCACCAGGTCCACCTCGGCCCCCTTCCGGATGAGGAAGTCCACGCAGTTCCCATGGCCTGCGGTGGCCGCAATGCGCAGCGGCGTGCAGGGCAGCCAGCCACAGCACCAGACAGACTTCTCATTGATGCGGCTACAGGGAACACAGGACAGGCAGGTGTGAAAGGTGGTAGGCAGAAGGCACCATGGGCTGCTCTGCCTCCCCCCAGGGGCGGCACTGAGGTCAGTCATGCTGGGGTCCAATAAAGCCTCCACTCCACCCCTTTCTGAAATGCCGTCCATCTTCTCCCTGCCTGCCCCTCTCCGGGAAGAGGAAACCTGGGGCTTGGGCAGGATGATCGGCACCAGAACCGAGGCCTCCAGTTCCCAGACTTCCCGAGCCACCTTCCAGCCACTCACCTCTCCAGGGAGCAAGGGCTCCACAGGGATGCACACTGGCTGGGGAGCTGGCTCAAGCCTGAGCCCCTTCTCCCCAGGTGCCACCTGCAAAGGCCTAAGGCTGGGGCTCTCGCTGGCCTCATCCTCCTCGCTAGGCCCAGGTGAGCACCATGCCCCCTTGCCCCAGCCCTGTGAGAGCCTGAGGAACCCGACAGTGCTTCAGGGACTGGGTCCCTGGCCAGCAGCAGCAGCCCCAACTCTGAGGAGGTGACCAGCAGCCCGTGCACTAACCCTCCGGGTGCTCCTGCCAGAATCTGAATGAGCTCAGGAGCGTACTCGGGAGCACAACGAAACAGCATCTCCAAGCCACCCTCATGCTCCTCCTCCACCAGGCTGCATAGAAGCACAGCTTGGACGGCCAGCAAAGCCCAGGACGCCCTGAGAACTCGTCACCAAAGAAGTAAGCACAAGAGAAAATATCACAGATATGAGAGACTCGCTGAACCTGAGTTTCTGAAAAAGGGGGGGAAGGCACTTGGAAAAGCAGTATAGAAATATTTGGCATAGGGCCCTGCTGAACTTTCTTTCACTTTGCTGTGACATCTACTGGTTTAATTAAGGCTTTGGGGGAGCTTGAATCATTGAATTTAATAAATTTAAAATTGCTATTTTTTTTTGGATATTGTCATTTGCTCTGAGAAGCAATGCTAAGACACCAGAAGGACATGAAAGGAACAGCCTCCTGAACCATGAGAAATGCTTTCCTTGGGAATGCTCCACACAAAGCAGTAGTCAGCTTCAGCACAGACCACAGGCACCACCTCCAGCTCACTGCCATCCTTGTCCCCAAGGGGACCCAGGAATAACAGGAAGGAGCATCGGGCTGCATTGGGACTCCAGTTTCAGACACACGGGGCAATCAGGGAATAATCCAGAGAGGAAGGCTGGGCTCGCCCAGTTCCTGCACAGGGACGTGGGGCAGCAGGACTCCCTGCCCATGTGGAGACAGGCAGGATGTGGCAGGTTAGGAGGCTACAGCTAGGGGGCAACAGGAAGAGCGCCCACCGTACCCCCAGAGAGGAGACAGCTGGCCTGGGCAGAGGACTGTGGCCCGAGAGCAAAGTGAAAGAGGAAGGCGGCTGTGGGCCCACAAAACCACGGGGTGAAAGAGCCAAGGGAGAAGCCAGAGGCAGAGCCAGCACTGAGGAGCTCAGCAGTTGCCACCAGGAGCCACACTGAGACACGCAGGTCTAGGGAGGGCCAGGCACTGGCAGAAAAGACGCAGGTGACTGACGGAGCTAGGCTGGATCTGGGTCCCCTGCCCACACCAAGTGACCAGCTCCTGAGCTCTGGCCAGGTTTCCCTGGTGTCCCATTTGTCTGTCCTCGAGCAGCAAGACCTTCATGAGCAAAGCAGGCCATAAGTCTCACTCAGCTTGGTGTGGCCACAACACTCACCTCTGGTAGCTCTCCTCCTGCAACAGGTTCCTGAGCGTCTGCAGGTCCCCCACGTAGGCGGCATCATGGAGCCTTGTGTCCTCACAGTGCTCCAGCGGGTGGTCACAAAACTGCTCCCTCAGCCACTCCTTCAGATTAGGACCTGCACTGAAGACAGGGGGTCCTGTCAGCACAGGAAACCTCGAAAGGCCGCCACATGCAGCAGGTCCTCCTCTGCCAACGCCAGGATCTCAGGCTGTGACCCTGGTTACCACACTAGCACGTTCCAACCGCCAAATACTGTACAGTGTACAAGGGACCAGGGAAGAGTGAGCCACCCTACCTCAGACTCTGGACACAAGATATTAAATAATTAGCAAACTGAAATAAAGACTGCATCCAAAAATCTAGCACGCAATTACTTTAATTGATCCCAAGTATATAAGAGCATCTTAAAACTGAGAAACATGAAAGAGGACCACTGTCATCTCCTTCAGTACAGAGACAGGTGATGTGTCAAAGGCCAAGGGCCAGCTGGGCATCGTGCTGCACACTTCTAATCCCAGCACTCTGGGAAGCTGAGGCAGGGGGATCGCAACTTCAAACTCTGCCTGGGCAACTCAGTGACATCCTGCCTCAAAATAAAAAGTTCTTAAAAGGGCTGGGAATGTAGCTCGCTGGGAAGGCCCTGGGTTCAATCCCTAGGACCACAAAAAAAAGAAAGACTGAGGGGGGGGGGGAAGGGAGGGAATGAGAGAGGAACAACTTACTCATCAGACACGGTATGGCCCTCAAAGGCTCACCTGTGGGAGGCTTGGTCCCCAGGGTGGCAGCAGTGGGAGACAGTGTGACCTTTAAAAGGTGTGGCCTTGTGGGAAGTTGCAGGGGGCGTGGTTTCAGGCCTCCAGAGGGACTGAGGTACATATTTTCTGGGGACTTGGTCAACTCTTGCAGAGCAGCATTACAGGGTCCCGAGGCTGGCCCCATTCCTTCTCTGATGTCTTGTTGTTGATGTGATAGAGTGCCTCTCTTGCTATTGCTAACTCCTAGGAGGTGACACAGAAAGAGGGGCCCTCACCAGAGCCTGCACCATGCTCTCAGTCTCTGAGACTGAAAGAAAATAATCCTTTTTTTATAAAGTTAACCTGCTTCTGGTATTTCATTATAGCAATGAAAATGGGCTAATTCAGACAGTAATCCTAAAATGGATACACTGTGCTGTACAGAAGTTACACCTCAACAAAAAGGAAAGCTAAAACACATGTATATAAATCAACCCAGCCCTGTATGCTGAAAGGTAATAAAAAACTAGAGCAAGGAGAAAGCCCAGGCTGGGGATTTAGCTCAATGCTTCTGCCACCTGCCTTGCAAGCGCAAGGTCCCAAGTTTGATACCCGGTACCAAACAAACAAACAAAAAAACCATACCATGTACTGGGATGAGATTTAATATTAGAGAAACTGTAAATGTTACCAATAAATAAATGAAGTTTAATAAATCTCTTCAAAGTTTTGATTAAAATATTCTAAAACTTTTTTGCACATATAATGAAAGAATAACTTTAGTAAGAATAACAAAAGGCCTACTGTACTGGATAACAGAACTCTCATCAGACTAAAAAGATGAACAGAATCAAGTGCCCAGAAAGACCTTAATATAAATAACTCAATTTGTGACAAATCAGTATTAACATCAGAGTGGATGGAAAAGGATACTCAACAAAAAGTACAGGTAATCAGATAACTATCTGGAAATTATGAGTCCACACTCACACTGTAGCCCAAAACACACATATCCCAAAGTAAATTCCACAAGATTGAAGGGCTTTGTAAAAATAATTACACGGGGGCAGGGGATTTAGCTCAGTGGTTCCACTGCCTGCCTTGCAAGCAACAAGGTCCAGAGTTCGATCCCCAGTACCAAAAAGTAATAACTACACAGACAAGTATAAGTCAAGAGCTTGAGCTCATACTGATTGGACCAAGTCTCCATCCTGCCATCAACAAGGCACACAGTTATAAAGCACTTCTTCCACAAGTGGGCTTTTTGCAGATGTGAAAGTTGAAGTCAAGATACTTCAAGACTGAGTTTTCTGATCAGCTACTACAATGGCAACATGATTATCCCAGAATGGCACTGAAGCTTTGCTTTACCCCTCCACCCGAAGAGAGACACAGAGTAAATAACTAAACAGCACTGTGCATGGACACAAAAAGGAGCCCTGTGCAGGGCAAAGGCACTGTTCCTCCCCCCAGAACCCTTCTCCGCACTGGGAAGCAACGTCATCCCCTCTTCCCACTGGAAAACCTCTCACTCCAATCCCTTATTCTGGCACGAGACAACATGCCAGACCCGACATGCCAGACCCGAAGGTCCTGGCTGTCCAGGAGTCAAAGTCAACGCCAACCACAGACCAGGATGGCAGGAGATGTGTCCAGCTTGGGTCCACTGTGGTCTCCGGAGCTGAGTCCCGCTAGCAGTGGTCCTCAGCATGTTAAACGGACGGAGGGAGGGAAGGAGGAAGAGATTTTTTAAAAGGCTTCCGGGATTTTGCATATTTAAGAGTCGGAGTAACAAACGAGATTGTTTACTACTGAGGAGCGATTGGCTCTTTGGACTAGTAGCTCTCGCAAAGCGCCGGTGGGCGTGTAAGGCACCTGTCCCGCGGCGAGCTCAGAGGGGGGGGGGCAGCATCAGGAGGGCAGCACCTGCAGGGGCTCCGGCGGCGGCGGCGGCTGCGCTGGGGGCGGGCGTGCGCCTCCGGCCACCGGGCGTGGGCGCGCTGTCACTCGAGCTGGCCCGGGGCCGCCCGGCGGGGCGGGAGGTACGTGGCTGGCCGCGGCCCCCAGCACCCGAGCGCTCGCACAGGCAGGAGGACCTGTGTCCCATTTCGCGGCTGGAGCGCTAGCGAAACGAACGGCTCCTGGGCCGCGCGCGGTTAAACGGCCGCTCGCCTGGACAGAGCACGGCCACGCGCACTCGCGGCCCAGGCTCGCGGCCCAGGCTCGCGGCCCAGGCTCGCGGCCCAGGCTCGCGGCCCAGGCCCGCGCCCCGCCGCCCCGCGCCCCGCGCCCTGCCGCCATACCTGCGGGTCCGGGCCCAGCCCGCCCGTCGGGGCCGCCGCCCTCCGCCATGGGTACGCCGGAGCCGGGCGCCCGGAGGCCACTCCGCCTCCCCCCGCCCCGCGGCCGGAAGCAGCACGGACCCCTGACCGCTTCCGAAGCCGCAGGCTGGCCGGCTGCCTCACAGCCTCAAAGGCGCAACTTCCGGTGCGGCGGTGTGGCGCGGGGCGCCAGGTCTCCACTTCCGGCCTCGTCGCCGGACCTGAGGCGGAGGCGCTCTGAGGACGCCAGTCGCGCCACGGCCTCCCAAGTAAGAAGCAGAGGAATCTGGGAAATTGCGCCGCGCACCCCCCCGGGGGGCGGAGCCAAATTTGCACGCCCTGGCACCTCTGGTTGGCCGGGCCCGTCCCCGCCCCCGATAAGGGGCGTGGCCTCCACAGTATAGGCGGAGCGTTGCTGAGAGCCCTTCAGTGATCCCGCAGCCCCTCAACTGTAATCCCCGCACCCTAGGAGGCTGAGGCTGGAGGATCGCAAGTTTGAGCCTAGCCTGACAACTTGGAGAGTCGGTGAGACCCTGTTTCGAAATGAAAAAGTTTAAAACGGGCTGGGGATCTAGCTCAGTGCTAAGGGTCGAGGTTCAATCTCCAGGAATCTGAAGGAATGAATAGATGGACGCTGGATCACAGGCGGAGGCGGAGCCCCAGGTCGCACAGCCAGCCGCAGGCCCCAGCCGGGCGAGCCCACGGGTGTCTAGGGCCTGATAACAGTGACAGGATGACACTGTAGGCAGGGCTCCTGGGGCTGCCAAACACCCAAGCCTGGAGACAACCGAGTGTGGATGGATGGCTGAGCGGCAACAGCACAGACGGTCCCCACGGCGGCCAGCGCTCAGCCTGGAGCCACCCGGAACCCACTGACGGGGAGGACATCGGAAGTGAGCCAGACACAGCAGCGCCCTGAGCCCACTGCAATTCCCCTCAGAGGGCCCGGGAGGAGCCCGTGAAAGGCTAAAGTGCTCGATTTTATGTACATTTTACCATGATTTTTTAAAAGACCCTGATGGGGTTGGTCGGGGCATCCGTGTCCAGAGGTCCCTGGGGCTGCAGCCCTCGAGCCCCAGCTTCAGCTGCGCTGCCCTCCGATCTCCCTGTGCCCCCACCCCACTCAACGCATACCGGCTCTCAGGGCCCGCAGTCCTGCACATGGACGGCCACCTGCTTGCTGTCCTGCACTCTGCCAATACTGTTCCCCCAATCCGGGTCAGTGTCATGGGCCCAGGAACCCTCAGACAGCAGGTGCCGAGTCAGGATCACATGAGACCTCCAGCCCTGCAGCCCTCGCTCCACCCCAAGACCCACCCACAAAAGGACACCCAGCAACGCTGGACACAGAATTAATGCAGGCCATGCCACCCTGGCCTGAAACACACAGGGCCAGTGCCACCTCCACAAAGGGGGGGGCTGTCTCTGTCTCCCCAAGGCCCAGAGGTGTCCCCCCATTTTCCCACTCCCAGCATTTCCTCTCATAAGACCACTAATGCCTCCCGTTGCCATCGGCAGCTCAGGCTTCCACCACAGCTGTCCACTCCTTGTCCCCAAAAGAAATGGTCCAGTGTCCCGGGCTGGTCCCACCCTGGACTCCAGCCTAGCTTTCAGGGCCCAGGGGGCCACCTGTCAAGCAAGAGACATCACAGCCACAGGTCAGCCAGGAGTGCTGTGTCATTTTTATAACAAAGTGTCCACTAGACAATGTCTGCTTCAGGAGGCCTGGGAAGGGTTCCACCTGCCCACCTGTCCCGCTGCAGGGAGCCAGGGAAGCCTGGGAACACTGGGCACCTGGAGGGGCTCAGCCTGCAACCCCCGCCAACCCCCAAATGTGCTGGCCCTGCAGCAGCTCCAGCCCCTTGACCATCTGGGGATTGGGCAGCAGGTGTCACCCAGGCAGGGGCCTGGTGTGGGCATCGCCATAGGGCATAGGTCCCAGCTGGGGGCCGCATCTGGCATCTCCCCCTCAGCCCTCTTCTCTTTGGAAGACTCCCCAGAGGAGAAGGCAGGGCCACTGCAATGTCCCCGGGGAGCCTCTCACCAGCCCCTCGCGGCAGCTGCTGTCCCCCAGGGGCGCTGGGGCCCCAGTGAAGGTGGGGTCCACATCCTGCCATAGGTGCCCAAGCCCCGACAGGATGGCTGCTCCTCCATCGCTGCCTGCAGAACTGGTAACAAATGTCACTAGAGTCAGGATGCGTCCCCCGTGTTGTGCCCAGTGTCACGGGCCCACGCTTGGCCCAAGCCCTGCCCCTCCCCTACAGGACTGTGTGTCCTTCAGCCTTGGTCCCCACACCTGGTGCAGGGGAGACAGGAGGAAGGTGGCGGTGTCCTCTGCCCTGGAAGCCTGGACACGCCCTTCCTGGCCACTGCCGAATGCCACTTGGCCAGGCCGTGGGGCCCTAGGGGATGGCTGGGCAGCAGCCAGAGATGGCACCGGACAGGGCAGCCCAGGCCTCACTCTCCGGGCTGCCCCAGAGGCCTCCCAAGCTAGGGGCGGCCACCGTCCTCCCTGCATGATGGAGCACGCTGGGCGCTGGGAGGCCACGGTGCTCCCAGAGACCGTGCGCCCCTGCCAGGCCGCTCCCCTCGCCACTCCATGCCATGTGAGTCATCCCTCTGCAGCCGGCCTCACCCCTCCACAGTGTGGGGCTCTGAGCTGCTCCCCTCGCCCTCATCACCCAGGCCAGTGTGCTTTGTGTTTGGTTTTTGGTTTTGTTTTTTGGGTTTGTTTTTTCTTGGGTTTTTTGTTTTTTTCAGTTTTTTGAAACAGTCTCACTATGTAGTTCACATTGGCCTCAAACTTGCAGCAGCGATCCTCCTGCCTCAGCCTCCTTGGTGTTAGGATCACAGGTGTGCACCACCACGCCCAGCTCCAAAGAAGTTTCTGCCCCAACATTTGGTCTCTGTCCCCAGGCTCACAAACCCCTCAGTGACCCCTGAAGCCTGCCCTGTGCTCCTTTGCTGGGCATCGGGGGCCTTGGCAGGGGAACCACCCAGCGTCCTCCTCCAGCTCCCACACCCCTTCGGGGACCTCCTGCTGCTGTGTCTACATACACACACACTGGGCACATGCACACGCGTGTCCACACACGCAAGGCTCCCTCCCCTCCCCACACCCTTCCTGGCGCCTCTTCTCCACCTCACCAGGCTGCCAGCCCCACCCTACTAGGGCCTCCCTGCCTCCCCTTGAGCAGGCTGCTATCTCTCCTGGCAGATGCGGCTCCTCCCTGTGGCCTCGGCCTCCAGGGACATCTTCCTCCCACAGGCGCGCATTCCACAGTGACCATCACATCACGTCACTTGTCAGCCAGAAGCGACCCTGCCACGCCAGGCACCTTGAGCCGAGCAGGAGGGGACACTGGCCCACACCCCTCCGCCAGAGCAGTGGGGAGATCCGTGGCTCTCAGTGAAGACCAGGCTGGGCCTCTGCCCGGGCAAACCTCAGTGTACTCACTGAGGAGATGGGCTCTGCAGGTGTGCTGCCCTGTGGAGCTCGAGACCAGGGGCCTAGACTTCAGGGTGCCCGTTAGGGTTCAGATCATAAGTGTCCCCCAGAGGCCGCGCACCAAGGCGTGGCCACCAACCCACAGCGCTAGATCCCACCTGCCACTGCATGGAGGAATGCCACTGCCATCATCCTCCCCAGAGAGAGGGTGTGGAAGGGGACACCAGCCATGTGCAGAACTGCACAGACGAGGTGGTGCTTAAGACTCTCCTGCCTGCTGACGCCATAGCCAACAACATCGCAGAGCAGCAGGCGGCACAAGTCTCTGGTGCTGGTGTGAGCTGCGAAGCACATTCAGTTGTGTACACTGCAGACACTTGATGAATGCCTATGGGTGGTGGATGTACTTACTATACTCTGCTATTATTTTAGAGCATACTCCTTTGGCTTGTAAAACTAAATCTTTACTGTAAGACAGTGCCTTAGTCACCTTCCTCATTGCTGGGACACAATACCCAACACCCACAGCCTAAGGGAGTAGAGGTTTGTTTTGGGCGACATTTTCAGAAGTTTCAGTGCTTGCATGGCTGTGAGCTGCAGGCTCGAGCACGATGGAAGGGCCTGGCTGAGGAGAGCTGCTCGTGGCAGGGCGGACAGGAAGCAGAGAGAGAAGGGAGTGGCTGGGGGAGAAATGAGCCCTTCCAGGCCACGGAACCAGACCCCACCCATCAGCAAGTCAGTCACCTCCCAGAGCCGCGCCCATGACCATGTGAGGCTTTGGGGCAGCAGCCTCCTACATCTTCTGTTTACTGTGTCACTCATTCGACAGTGACTGGCCAGTGCCTTTGCCCCGGCCCTCACAGCTGCGGCCCCTGCCCTGCCCTGCCCTGAGCACAGTTGGGCCCCCACTGCTGACCAAGGGGGAGCAGCCTAAGAAGAAAGCTCCCCAAGACCCACCCGCTCCAGAGCCCTCTGCCCACAGGGTGGAGCGTGGGGACACTCGGGTCATGCCTGCCGCATGGGGTGCGGGCACAACAGGACAGAGGCGGGCCGGGTGCGTGTCACACGGCCACACAATGGCCTGACGCCTGAGGTCACACAGCTCCCATGGCTGCTACTCAGTGAGGTTCGGCATTCACCAGAGACCCAGAACCCAGCCCGTGTGAGGAGCGGGAGGGAGAGATTTCGGGAACTGACTACACAGCTGTGGGGCCGGCGGGCTCAAACCAAGGCTGGAGGACTGGAAACTCAGACAAGAGTCAATACTGTCCTGAGTCTAAAACCGGTAGGCAAGCTAGAAGCTCAGCCAGGGCCTCTACATCCTCCTGAGGCAGAACCCCTTCAGCTCAAGGAAACCCTGGCTTCCACGCTTAAGGCCTTCACCTGATTAAAGAGGCCCACTGGGATTTTGAGAGTAATCCTGAAGTCACTGGACTGTAGATACTAATTCCCTTTGCAAAATGTGTTCACAGAAATATCTAGACTAGTGTTAGACCAAACAATGGTCACCATGGCCTAGCCAAGGTGACACAGAAACTGTAACATCATGCACCTCAGACATCTATAGGACTAGAATGGCCAGGATGGGACAGCATGCAGGTGCAGCCCGAACCAGGATCTTCAGCCCTCGGGCCTAGACTTGCCTTCCTCTGTGAGCAGCCTCCATGGGACACTTCTCTGTGTGGCCTCCACTGGGGGCCATCGAGTTCCAGCTCAGTTCCCAGCACTCAGGGTTGAGGCAAGCTCAAGTCCAGCCCAGGCAACTTACTGACTCAGCGAGACCCTGTCTCAAAATAAAAGATAAAAGAAGGCCATGGATGTAGCTCAGTGTAAAGGTCCTGGGTTCAACCACCAATCGGCTCAACAAATGCAGGAGGAACCACACTCCACACTCCCACACCCAGTCAGTCCCAGGTATTCTGGTTTCCCCGCAGGGCACTGGAGGGAAGGAAGAATTCCCTGAAGGAGCAGAGGAAAGAAAAGGGATGGGGCCAAAGAAGGCCGCTCAGCAGTCTTAAGCCTGAAATGCATGCCCGCAGCCAGCTGTCGGGGCCACTAAGGCTGCCGTGTCCACCCAGGTGCCTCGGGGGCTCTCAGTGTCCCTGCAGAGGTCACTGGGGTCAGAGCCAACAGCACTGGCCCTGGCAAGGACTCCCCAAAAGGTGATTCTGAAACCACAGTGTCAGAACCCCACCCTGAGCCCCGATGACTACACATCATTGTTAGGAGCTGGGAACAAAGCCATCCTTCACGGCTCTATTTGGGGGCCTATTTGGAGAAGCACTTAAGAAGGGCCCAGGCCAATACACACATAATGGCTTTAATGACATCCTGTGAATTTATTTTTCCAGAGAACAGTATTTCTGGGGAAAACGTCCATAAAAGCAACTACAGCAGAGTGTGTGTGCACATTTCCTCTAGGAAATCTGTTTAGTTTAAGTCCCAGCTTTGAGCATGACTTCTTCCAAAGACGGGGACCCACAGAAGCCTGCTGACAGCCCAGAGCTGGCAGGCGGTGGTGTGGACGAAGCCCCTCACTCCGCCGTGGGCCTCATGAGAACTCAATTTTCGTGGTTTTAAAGGAAGTCACAACTTCAAACCCTCTTCCAGTGATTCTTGTTGTCAATTGAAATATTTGTTTGACAGCTGGCTACCTTCTCCAAATTGCTGGTTTTTTCTTAAAGAAACTTGCATTTTGTAATGCCCTGGGCCAGTATTATACTAACAAACCTGACTCAGTTCTCATTTTTTATATGATCAACACCACAAGCATGATGACTGTGGCTCAGGTTCTTTCTGATTTCTTCCACTTCCAGATCTTCAGTTCCCAGGACAGGCCAGGAGCCAGGGACGTGATCCAAACTAACCAGAGCTGTGACCCAGAACATGGGGGAGGGAATTTTCAAAAGGAAAGTGAATCGCCCACTGTTACACCAAACGGAGAAATTATGTTTACTTTTCTCCTTCTTCGCTTCCCATCCTGATTCCCAAACATACAAAATTGTGTATTCACCATCTTCCTGTTGCTGAGACAAAATAACTTAAAGGAAGAGAGGCTTATTTTGGCTCAGTTTCAGAGGATTCAGTTCATGGTCAGCCAGCTCCAAGGTGGGAACATTACGGTGAAAGGGTGTGGTGGAGGAAAGCTGTTCACATGGGCGGGGGATTTAGCTCAGTGGCTTTGCCGCCTGCGTGGCAAGCACAAGGTCCCGAGTTCGATCCCTGGCACCAAAAAAAAAAAAAGGAAAGCTGCTCACCTCATGGCAGCCAGAAAGCAGAGAGGGCAAACGCAGAGAGAGAAGTGGCCAGGGACAAATGCATACTCCAAAACCACACCCGCCGTGACTCACCCCGTCCAACCGGGCCCCACCTCCCAGTGTTCTGCCAGCCTCGGACTCAGCTCCTATGACCCAGTCACCTGAAAGCCCCACCTCTGAACCAGAGACTCTGGGGACATTCTAGATCTAAACTATAACACAGTCACAGAGGACATTTTCCTATCTGTTCCTTGCTTTCCTTCTATCATGAACTCAACACTACTTTTACCTACACATTTCTCCTGCTCTCTCAGACACAAGCAAATACCTCTGATTGCACAGGAAAAAATTAAAAAGCAGGACACGGTAAGAAAATCAATGTCCAAGAGCTATGCTTTCTGCAGTGTAGTGGATTAGATGCCTGACCAGTGCTCAGGATGGAAACAGCTGAACTGACAGATAAAACGTCAAAAGCACCTCAGTAAGACACCTTGCTGGGGTGGTGGTGGAAGGGGAGAGTGGAGCAAAGCTGCTCTCCTCCTGGTTGCCAGGAAGCAGAGACAGCAGAAGGGCTCCGGAACAAAATGTGCCCTGCAGCGCCCACCTCCTCCAACTATGCTGGCTCCACAGGCTCCCAACACCGCCCTGTGGTGCCAACACAGGGGCCTCTGGGGATACTGAAGGCCCAGACTGTGACGCTGCTACCATCTGACAGGAGCTGTGACAAGAGGCAGTGATGGCCCTTTCCCCGTGCCTGTGCCATGACGCCGTGCACTTCACAGACAGAAGACCTCAGCCAGCTCAGGGCAGCGTGGACAAGCAGCCCAGGGGCCCTTCAGGGGCACCTGTCAGCACACTGAGCGGACCCATACCCGCAATCCAAAACCGCACTCTTGTCACTGAGGACATGTCTCCTCAGAGTTCAGTCACTCTTTTTTTAAGTCAAAAGATTGGGGAAAAAAAAATCACTATATCAAAGTAAAAAGCTTGAATTTTAGTCTTGAACTTTTTTTTTCCAATGACTTACACATTTCCTTGGATAAATTAGTGTCAGCTAAATTAAAAAATTCAAGACTCTGGCACTCACTAAACTACAGTAAACTAGTGAAGAGTTCCATTAGCTATTTTCTCAAAATATGAAGATTAGGATTTAATTTGTTATCATCAAATACATTACTAATCACATGTAAAGACCTTCCAAAACTTCAAAAATGATCTCAAAATTTCTGGTAAATGCTTACCTGACTTCAATTAATACAGAAAAACAGCAAGTGGCAAAGGATGAATGAAAAGATACATTTTCTTACACATCATTGAAAATCCAAATGCTTACGCTTTTTTCTGTGTGAACTAAATCCATACACTTATAGAAAAAATAGGTGATTATTTTAATGATTTATGTATAAAAGAAAAATAAACTTTGATACAATTTAATAGCTACTTCATACAAAATTTTACTCACATACAATATATGCAATTTTCCAAAACAAAAAATGTATTCATATATACAAATTCATAAAACGCATGTATCTCAACTTGAGGCAAAACAGGGTCCGCTTCAGGGTTATGGCTAAGTCTTTCATTTCAGTAGAAGAGAATTATAAATACGGGGGGGACTAGTTAGCTAACAGTCCTTCCCTGGCCTGAGCTGTGTTAGTATAGTCTGATCGGACAGAAATGTACAGTGCATATAGAAAGGAAAGAGAAAACACCAATGTCTCCAATCGGTAGGTCTCAGCCATCTCTGCTTTTATCAGCTTAGAAGACCCTATGCTTCTGCGCTGAAGGGTTTGTTTTGGGAATACACTAAGAAAAACCAAACAGCCATTTGTGCTAATCCTTGAAGAAACTGAACTCTCCCAGCAATCCTCACGCTAACGTGTGCACCTTAGTTTACAGAGTAATAAATACGGTAGCCAGAAAGACAAAGAGCGGAACCAGGCCTTGAGAACCTACATGTGTCTCCAAACACAGTGAAATCCTTTACACAATAACTTAAGACCTTAGTAAGTATTTAAAATATATGTAAGTGAAAGCTGAGTATAAACTGTGTTTTGTAAAAAAGGCTTTGCTTTAAAAAACATTTTCTAAAAACATGAGTCACTGCACAAGTGCAAGGACCCGAGTTTGATCCCCAGTACCAAAAAATAAAAATAAAATTTGAAAAATTAATAAAAACATGGGTCACATGAGAAAAGCGTAACTGGGCGCCTCCCTTTACATCTCCCCACGTGGTTTCCCCTCAGCTGCCCCCGAGCAGACATGCGTGCCGATCGACAGGAAGGACGCCACTGTCTCAACAGCGAGACCCTGCTCTCCAAGACACTCGAGGTGCTCTGCCTGTGTGGAACTGGGGAGCCCAGGCACAGTGCTGAAAGCCAAGAAGGGGCCTGTGACAGCTTCTCATCAACTGGAAGGCAGACCGAAACCTCCGCTGTCCGTTTGTGAACTGCAAGACCTAGAAACAGGCAGAAGACACTGGGGCCAGCAGGGGAAGCCCCCGCACCCCGACAGCTGGCATGTACCTCGCAGGGTACAGGCTGGTAGGGATTTTCTCCACATGGAAATTAAAAGTCTAGTTTAATTGCTTTCAGGCCTCATTCTAGTTGTGAAACGCCCACCGACAGTGCAGCCATCCTCCACGTGTTGTTGCCCTGCAGTCCTGTCACAAGTCCCAAACCGAAGAAAGGGAGCACCGTTTCCGTGGCAATAACCCGGTCCCGGGAGGGAACTTGGACCAGGACACACAGGCTGCAGCAGGCCACAGCCCGAGCAGGGAAAGGGAGGGAAGGCGCCGGATGACTAGCAAGGACTCCAGCGGCAGGAGGTACGAAAACACGGTCTTTAATACACTTAACAAGCCCAGCTGGGCGACCACACTGTAAACAGGCCGCGTCCTAGTAAACCAGGACTGAAATCGAAATGCTCTCCTGTCTTGCTCTCCATGTTCACACCCGTGGTGACCAGCTGGCTGAGCTTCACCTTCGCGATGTCAAATTGATACTGTACACCATTTTCTGGATTTTCTCTTCGTTCCTCAGGATATTGGCCTTCACGGCACAGATCTTGTCTTGCTGGTCTTTGACCTGCTGCTCCAGCTCGGCCAGCTCTGCCTTCAGAGGCTCCACAGCACAATCTGTGATGCTGATGGGAAACGAGGGGGCGTGTCAGTCTCGCGGCCCAACACACACCCACTTCTTCATAAGACACCAGAGACAGCAAGAGGAGACCACTGACTTCATTCAAAGAGAAAGGACACAGTGCAAATCTCCTACAGTAATGACATGAAGGGGAAAGACACTGACCCTGCACAAGTTTATTTTAAATTCCTACGACCCAAAGAGAAGTCAAACATGAGATTCATTTAAAAAGAAGCTACTGCTTCTCCAGTGATGGGTGTAAGTCCTTACAATGTGCACTCAAGAGAGCTGCAGAGACAGCAAGGAGTAGAGTGGTAAAGGCCCCAGGGACACTAAGGACAACGGCCTGGACCCCGACCACCCCTCGGGAGAGGCTTCCCTGCCTTGGGTATCTCAGGCTCACTGGCTCTGCGCAGTGACCGGAGCCCCTACAGCTGTCAGGCTGAATTCTGGACAAAGTCTATGATTTACCCAGGAAAGACAAAATCAAACTCAGCCTTTCCCTTTTGGTTTTTTAAACCTACAAATTAAAATTAAAACTAAAATACAAAAAATATAGGAGAAATAGTTCTCAACTGTCCCAATATAAAACATAATCAGGTTTTAAAAGGAAGAAACCCCTGGTATGATTTTTCCTAATATTTAAAACCAGTTATCATGCTATAATAGGCATTGATAAATTCTTGGTAATTTTCTAGCTTTCTTCACATCCATTTTAAATTTTAAGGGACATGTAAACACTTAAGAGTGGTTACATGCTTACAGATTGATTGATTATAAGTATAGCATGTCAAACATTTCCCTAGAACAAACTGGACCTTTTAGCGACTATTATGCTTCTTTAAAAGTTGCAATTTTAGATGGACTTATCAGCATTTCCTTTACAGTAAAAAGCCTTTCAAAGTGTGAACAGTTACAAAGCTTCAGGGCTGTGTGTAGGAACACAAGCCTGCCTCTTGTAACTTGGACAGTGACAGGAGAAACATCCCGCCTCCTCTTGGGAGGAGGAAGGAAGGAGAGGGCCCAGAGGGAGTGGCCAGGGGAGCTTTCTCCTGAGCTATGCAGACTGCAGCCCCAGTCTACCCTCACCCGTCCCACCTCTGCCCCCTGCAGCCCACCTCTGCCCCCTGCAGCCCCACCTCTGCCCCCACTGCAGCGCCACCTCTGCCCCCTGCAGCCCACCTCTGCCCCCTGCAGCCCCACCTCTGCCCCCTGCAGCCCACCTCTGCTCCCGCTGCAGCGCCTCCACGTGCTGCCTGTTCTCACTGTGCCACAGCTGCAGCTCGTGCCGCATGGCGTCCACGTCTTCCTGCAGGTAGTCCATGATCTTCCCCAGGGGCAGCGCGCTCTTGCACAGGGTCTGGATGGACCCACGAAGCTTCTCGATCTCCTTGCAAACTATGTCCTTCTCCTTCTTCCACGCTGACTCAAAGACAAGCGACTTCTCCTGCAGCCAGGGCACCAGGACGAAAAAGAGCATCCTCAGTCCTGTGGCAGGACATGCGTGCTGGGCGGGGTGGCTCAGCCCAGGGACACCAGTGCTCCTCAGACACAGGGCAGCGGAGCCAAGCCTCCCAGTCAGGGGACAGGGTCTGCCTGGAAATCCCAGTGACCGGAACTTACTGTTGCCATGATCACAAGAGCTCACAGCATGGACTTTCCAGGGACTGGCAGAGGGGTGCCTGACCCTGCAGCTATCTCAGAATAAAATGTGTACTTTAAAAAAGAGGTAATAGCTATGGAAGTGCCCTTAATTTTTTTGGAGGTGCTGCAGATCGAACCCCAGGGGACTCTACCACTGAGCTACATTCCCCAGACACCCCCAACACACACACCTATTTCTTTAGTTTGAGACAAGGTCTCACGAAGCTCCCTAGTCTGGCCTCGAACATGTGATTCTCCTGCCTCAGCCTCTCTGGTAGCTGGGATTATAGGTATGTGCCAGCACTCCTGGCCATACAAATTCCTTTAAATTAAAATCCTAAATGACTAAAACAAATTTAATACATAATGAACTGCTTCCCCCAGGGAAATGTAATACCTTAAATATAACCAGATTAGTACAATGACAAACCGACAATGCTGACACCCACTCGTGATGATGGCTAAAGGCAGGCAGCCCTTGCTTTGGCACCGTGGCCCCTCCAACACAAGGCTGTTCAGGGTGGGCTTTGTGGGACAGGAACTCACAGCAGTGCCTGCAATCAGGGGCCACAATCCAGAAAAGATGCAAGGGAGCCGACACACGGCCCCTGCGTTTCTGGTGACCTTGTCAAATCCTTCAAGTTTCTGTATCATAGAACCAAGTAGAACCTGGAACGCTAACCTTAAAGTCTAAAGTTTTATTTTAAGATGTTAAGAATTTAAAACAATACACCCTTGGATTGGAGTTGATTGCTGGAGAGACCCTCATTATCATCCTAAAGGCACAGGAACACACTGCTGGAAACAGAACTCTGGCGGTTTCCGAGGGTTCACGTACACTAACTTGGCAGGGTGGAGGTGGCCGGAGAGGTGGCAACTGCACAGCCCAAGCCCTCTGGAGCCGACTGATTCGCAGGCCCAGCACAGACCCATCAGCAGCCTCCCAGCCACATGGCCCGGTCTGCACAAATGTTAATATGGAAAATGAAATCTGAGGCTTCCACACCACACGGGATTCAGCCTTATGAAATATTAATTTTTGGAAACAAAGAACAAAAATGCTGAAAATCTGTCCTCACATAAAACACAACCAGAATCATGTAGAACACGGGTTCTGGGGGGCTTGGCCCAGCCAGGCCACCTCCCGGCGTGACAGCCTGGGAGCCAGACTCGGCCGCCTGTGCCTCAAAGTGAAAATGACAGTATTTATGATGCCGAGCATAGAGAGCACCTGCTGGCCTGGCCCCACTACCTGGACAGCAGCGGCAGCACAAGGCTGTCCCCTCGGCGCAGCCCTCCCCACCTTCCCCTGCCGCAGGCTGCTGATACGCACACAGCTTGTGGCCAGCCGCCTGACAAACACCGGCACTCCTGCACATGCCACACATGCTGCTCACAGACAGCTTCACACACACCGTCATGCACCACACGCTGCACACGCACACACTTTAGAAACACCTTCCAAGACTTTTCAGTGAACCATTAGTTACTTCTGCGACTTAACATTATTTGCCTTTTGGAACACACACACACTTGATCCCAGAAATCTGAGCCTTTGCGTTTACAGTGATTTTAAAATTTATAATTATTTATGATAAGTTAGACAAACATTATCAACCTTACAGATCTGCTTCTGTAAATTTTAACTCCAGTGCTTCTGAGAAGAGCGGAACACACCTGCTCTGTCCAGGCAGGAGCCGGCCACACAGCAGGGGCCGTCCACCCCTGCAGCCTGGGGCTCTGCCACTGCCCCACCCCCAGGTCACCACACTCAGGAGCACGCATGGCTCTGCCCTGCATTCAGCAAACCACACACAAAAGCCTGATTAACTGTGGGGCAGACAGGTGGTAATAAATCAAAGAATATCAGCTTTACATAACACTCTCCCAGGACCTCAGGAACTGATTTATATACAAGCTGTGAAAAGTTCAATTTCTTCATAAACAGAAGATACCTGCTTTCAAGTTACAAAAGGCAGCTCAAGCAAACAATACTTATTCTGAGGGTCTTCTTTATCCAGAATTCTCCATTTTCACAGAGGTCAAGTCGGAGCTCTTCAACACACAAACACACAACAGTCCCCGGTCAAACTCTTCAACCTTTAAATGCACCACCGAGCAGGCTTCCACTGTGTGGAACAAACTCACTGTGTAACACACAGGAAGTAGACACCTGCCGCCATCATCCCAGGCAGAAAGCCCCTCTCTGGGCCACCTCCGGCAGGGTTCCAGGTCCATGGGGTGGTGCCACTGCTCTGCTTGCTGGCTTGTTCCAAGGCCAGTGAGGTCACACCACACGGATTCCCCGTGTCCGCCTCTTTTGGCCAACACTCTGCTCACGCTCTGTGCACGTGGATTCTGTCTGCACTGATACATCAAAAATGAATGAAATACCGCCACTTATTATTCATCCGGTCTCCTGCTGGTGGATGTCTGGGTTATTTTTCACCTGGGGCTACTACAAGATACAACTGTGAATAATCATGTACACACCAATATTCATAGGCACCCGATTCTCTAGACTGTGCAACCATCGGTGGCTTGCTGAATAAAGGCATGCATGTTTCCAACTTTGTGACATAATGCCAAACCATGTTCTAAAATGGTGTTAGAAATTTACATCTTTTCTTTTTTTTGGTACCAGAGATCTAACTCGGTCCTTATGCTTACGAGGCAGACGCTGGCACCACTGAGCTAAATCCCTGGCCCCCTTTTTTTTCTTTTTACAGTACTGAAGATTGATTGAACACACGGCTTTTCCATGCTAGGCAAGCACTCTACCACTGAGCCACGTCCCCAGCCGTTTTTTAAATTCCCATTTTGAGATAAACAAGAACTCGATATAAGCTGCCTAGGCCAGCCTTGAACTTGTGATCCTCCTGCATCAGCCTCCTGAGTAGCTGGGATACAAGGGTGCACCCCTGCATACAGTTACATCAAATATTTTTTTTCAAATATTTTTTATGAACCTGCATTTCACTTCTATGCATATAAAGGAACTGTCATGTCTATAGCTACGTCATTTCTGCAATCTGACAACTACAGGTAGTAACTACCAAACTACTTCATGGGCAGCAGGAAGAAAACCACTACCCCAAGTCAGAAGCATGCTGGTAACGGGGCTCGTTACAGCAGCCACATGGCAATAAGCTTTTAGCGTGGACATCTGAGAAGTGAGACAGAAGGCCAGTAATTGTAGTGCGGGGCTGAGCCCATCGCAGTAGCATCCTAGCTCAGTGACTTGCTGTCTACGTGTCCTCAATAAGGCAAGGCCATGCCTCAGTTTCCTAACCAAGGGACACCCATCTCATGGATTACTGTAAGGAATAAGGGGATGTATGCAACCCCAAAACACACCAAATACTCTATAAATGTCAACTATTACTATAACTTTATGTTGTCTACAACTACAAGAATTAATGGTGAATGGCAGAGCAAAACACCACATGCGCGCTGCCTGTACCAGCCACACAGTGCCCGGGAGGTGCCAGAGCCTCTCCTGCCATCGGGAGCCTGTGGCGGCAGGGGTTTTACAAGGCTGTGCACCTGCAAGACTGGGCCACAGGCTAATCCTACTGGCTGCAGCAGGGTCCCGGGAACCAAGGGGAACCCACAGCTCTTCCTGAAAGCGAAAGTGCTTACCAGAAATGAAAATGAGTCTAGCCAGGGATGCAGCTCAGTGCCGCTGCCTGCTGCACAAGTGGAAGGTCCTGAGTTTGATCCCCAGTACCAAAAATGAAATGAGACTGAATCGCACTCGGGCAAGAGATGTGCTTAAGTATGCAAAGCAAAAACAACACAGTGCAAAATGAACAAAACCAAGCGATCTGGGAGAAGGAACTTGGGCCGTGGAAATAGCGGCGTGTTTGTGCCAAATTCCGAAGCAGGCTTCCTGTACAGCCATCAGACGCAGAACCTGTGGGAAGCTGAGCTCCCCAAGGATCTAAACTAATGAAAAGTAAGTAAATAAAAGCAGGGAGAAAAGAATTCCATGGGTGTGGGGACAAGCAAGCTCAGAATGGCACCAGGCGGGTGACTGGGCTGAAGCAGAGCACGGAGCACAGGCAGAGGTGAGCCGTGGCCACCTGCCTTCTGCTGGGCTGGAAAGGGTCACGCTATCCTGAAACATCGCACCTGGGCAGGAGGGTGGGTGGGAGGACAGGTGGGAGCTAAAAGCACTTACAAACAGTGGGAGCGGAGGGGTGCCCTGACCTCCCGTCTTCCCCAGGCAGGAGATTAAACCCCCAGGGCCTGCCCCAACCAGAGGGAAAGACTTCTTGTCATCAGACACGGGAGGGCAGGCCGGGAGAAGCCGTGCAGACAAGTCCATCACAACACCACCTGCCTTGCTGCTGTCCACTTTCCCACAACTGCCTCTCCCCGTGTGACTCAGTCCACAGGGGCCAGCTCTGTGGCTCTCAGGGTCCTCCCTGCCTGTGGGATGCCCACATCCCCACATCCGAGGTACTGTCCTATCTCCCTGTGTCACCCAGAGTGCAGCACTGGCGTGACACTGGCCACCCAGGACGCAGAGCTCAACTTCTAAGCCCCAGCAAGGTGCCTGGCTGTGCTGTAAGCTGGGCTGGTGGCACTGCTGCCCGGGCCGGGCCTCACAGGGCCTGCCCACGTGCACATCCATCCTCTTCACCAACCGCAGGTTGTCTGCAGTTCCCAACACAGCCGCTGGACGCTTCGTGGGACTACCTTGAATCTGTAAGTTAGCCTGAAGGACACAGTGTCCCTGTAATACTGAGCTCCCAGGGCAGGAACACAGCGGCTCTCTGGGCTTTTCCCAAACCCTTT